AGGCAGAGTGCAGTGGCCAGGATTCAATCCCTGGAGTGGCGTGCCGTGCCAGCTGGGCATGGTGGTACCCGCCTGTAATCCCAGAACTTGGATTAAAACAGGAGAATCACTACAAATCTGATCTACATAGTGAGACCATGGAGACCCTGTACCAAATACATTAAACAAACAAACAAACAAAAACATTATGGGACATCAGTATTCTGTCTTCCAGCTGCCATGAGATGAGCAGCTCTGCTCTCTCACATGTTCCCTGCCATAATCTGCCCCAAACTGAAAAGCAATAGGACCGCCCAATCATGAACTGAAACCTCTGCAACCGTGAGCTAAAATAAAGCTTTCTTAAGATTGGTTTTTTTCAAGTATCATTACAATAACGCAACAATACAAGTTCACAAAGTGAAACTGGCAACTGACATCTGAACTCCAGGACAGTATCCTGGAACTGAACCCTCAACTGTGGGATCTGATGTGACCTCCAGGTTGATAGTATCAGAATTAAGTTGTAAGACATCTAGCTGAATCTGCTGTCAGTGTTGCATTGAGTCATGTAAGAACTAGCCAGAAAAAAACCCACTTTGTTTTTGCCAATATCTCTGTAGACATATATAGAAAAAACTACACGAAGATAGAAGAACATGACCACCAAAACTTAAGAAGAGGGACTTAGGATACCTACCACAGTTGGGCATTGTTGCGCATGCCTGTAACACCTGAACTTGGGTGTTTACGCTTGGAGGATTGTAAGGGATGGAAGAAAGAAAGAAAAAGAAGAGGAAAAATATTCCTACCCTGCTGACACATTATTTGACTTTTAATGTTCATAACTGTCAAACAACATTTATGTTTTTTAAACCACTGTTTGTAACATATGGTTATGATATCCCTTGCAAACTAATACAGACTCAATTAATTATACTAATAAACATAAAACATAGTTTCGGTCCCACAAGTATAAAAATTTGGAGTGGAGAGGCAGAAAAATTAATTTTTCAAAAACCCTTTATTTATTTGGTACAGGGTCTCATTACAGAGCTCAGACTCATAGTGATCCTCCTGTTTCACCCTCTCTAGTACTGGGATTACAGGCATGCACCACCACACCTAGTTTCTGTGGCTGGCATGAGTTCCAGGGCCTGCATGGGATCAAACCTGGGTCCTTGCACTTAGCAGGCAGGCGCTTAGACTGCTGAGCTATCTCCCCAGCCGAGATAAAATATTTAAAGAAATAATAATGATGAGAATCTCCCAAATTTGATGAAAATATGCTTCATATCCAGGTGGTTCAATGAGCTCCATGTAATATAACCACAACTGTATGCCCACCTGGACATACAAACTGTTGAAAGAAAAGTGTCAATCAATTCATCATCCAGAGGAAACCATAGTTAAGAGTAATAACTGAGATATAAAAAACAATGGGGGCCACAATGCAATGGGATGGCATATCCAAAGTATAGGAGGGCCAGCCAAATAGTTCAGCAGATTAAAGTGCCTGCAAGCAGGTGCAGTGGCCAGGGGTTCCATCCCTGGGCCTACTGTGCCAGCCTCACCCCCAGAGGGCACTGAAATGGCAATTGAGACTAGGTGTGGTGGTACATGCTTGTAATCCCAGCTCTTAGGAGGCTGTAAACAGGCAGATCACTATGAGTCTGATCTAGTAGTGAGACTCTGAACACCCTGTAGACCCTTCCCTAAAATACAATAAAAAAGTATTATAGGAACAAAAATGTCAATCAAAAATTATATGTCGGGCTGGTGAGATGGCTCAGTGGTCTAAAGCACCTACTTAGAACAAGCTTAGCAAAGCACAGGGACCGCGGTTCAATCCCCCAGCACCACATGCCAGCCAGCCCTGCCCCCTGGTGGGCTGAGCTGGCCACACACACACACACACACACACACACACACACACACACAAATAAAAAAAATTTAAAAAAAATTGTATGTCAAGAAAAATGACTTTAACTTTTTCTCTTTTTAATGTGTTTTAATACAAGGTCTATAGGCTCTCCCTACACAGAAAATCACTTGTAGTGATTCTCCTGTTGTCAGCCTCCCAAATGCTGGGATTACAGGCACACACCACCAAGCCCTGTCTCAATCACAGCTTCAGTGTGCCCCACAGGCGGTGCTGGCACAGTATGCCAGGGATCGAACCCCAGTCCTCACGTTTGCCTAAGCAGGTGCTTTAATCCGCTGAGCTATCCCTCTGGCCCAATAAAAATGACTTTCAAAGAAGGTGAAATGAAGTGTGGTAACCCATATGATGAATGCTACTCAGCAAAGAAGAGGAACAAAATATGCATAAGAGCTATAGTATGGGTGAATGTCAAACATATGCTAAATAAATGATTCAGATACATAAGACCACATACTGTAGTGTTGCATTTACATTAAATGTTCAGAAGTGACCTATTTATAAAGACAATAGACTCATGACTTGGGCAGAGGGTGCAAACAGTGACTGCCAATGATCATGAACCATTTTTTTAGGTAATGGCAATGTCCTAATTGTCTTATTTGCAAATATTTTTTTTTTTTGGTGGAACTGGGGATTGAACTTATGCCTTTGCACTTGCGAGGCAAGTGCTTATTCAATTGAGCTATCTCCCCAGCCCCTACACATATCTATTTATACTTATTAAAACTCAATGTATGATACACTTGCAAAATGGATCAACTTTTTCCTACAGAAATTATACCTCCAGCCACTAAAAAAGATTCATCTAGAATAGAGGAATAAAGAAGACTAAATAAAATGGCTTTGCAAAAATATATCATGTACCAATGTGGGTCTAGTCATAAATACCAAACCCTCGGTTAGACAGATGAAGTTTGTTCTTTTTGTTTTTTGATAGTGCTGGGGATTAAACCCAAGGCCACACACATGCTAGACAGATGCTCCACAACTGAGGTGTATCCCAGCTCCCAGGCTTCTCCAACCTTAAATCTGCTTCCAAAAGGCTCTTATGCCTTTCCTAAACTCTGGGCACATTTCCTGGACTGTTTTTCTTAACTTTTCCACATTGTCAATTCCAGGTATTCCCTTTGCAGTCTCAGATGATAACACTGAGATCTGACTCCTGTTCCAAGATTTCTGCCCAGTAATTGGAACCTGACACCTCCTTCAGGACTCTAACGTATGCCCAAATCTTCTAAGTCCCCTGTTCATGCTTCAGTCTAGTTCTTCCTTTGCTTTTGATAGCTCTTTCCTTGAACTATATCCCTTCTCCTTTGCTGTTCACAAACTTTCTCAAGGTCTCAGGGATGTCCTTGAGTGGGCCATTCCCAGTACACTAAAATGGGCATACTAAGGATCTTATTTGAGCCTCACAATGAGCCTTGTTTTGCAGGTTTAGAGAGGTAAATCAAAGCAGGAGAGGGATTCAGATTCTGGTTTGATTCTACATGCCATATTTTCATTGACATACAATTTTCCTTTAAGATAGCTATTAAAAAGAACTATACCACAGGAACAATGTTAGACATTTCACTAAGCTAGGTATTATTACTACTACTTTACTTTGAGAAAACCAAAAATTAAGATGATAGAACTGGTAAATAAGAGAGCAAGAACTTGACAGACAGTTCTTGAGGATTCAGAGTTTTGTTTTTGTGATATTGGGGATTAAACCCGGGGCCTTAAATCACTAATTTTTCCATCATGGGCTCAAACTTGCACTTATCCTGCCTCAACCTCCTGGAGTTCTGAGATAAGGAATGCACCACTGTGTTCAGCTCCAAGTCTGTATTCTTAACCACTACTGTAGTTACTCTTCTCTTATTGCTGGGACAAGTCCCCAATATGCAAAATGAAGGAAGGAAAGGTTTATTTAGCTTACGTCAGTGGAGGTTTCCGTCCATACTCAGCTGGCTCCGAAGCAGAGTGGCACATGGCACAGAAAGCAGCCTTTCATGACTGCAGCAAAAAGCAAGACAGCCAAGAGAGAGGCAGCAGCTCAGGCAGCTATCTAGCCTCTCTCCCCACCTTACACCGTAATGCAAATTACCTGCCTCAGGTCTGGTGCAGCACCCACAATAATCACAAACTCCAGAAGCCACCCCATGACTGCATGAGGCTTTGGGGAGACACATATACACAAACCATAACAACTGTATCTCACCTTTTATCTCCATTATGTAGAAGAGAACACTAAGGAACTAATGAGTTCTAAATTTGTTTAGGGGCAACATTAATAGGCTTCCTCTCACATTAATGATTGCATTGATTATTAACTTATCATTAATGGCCTTCTGAGGAAAGGAAATAGTAGCTAATGGGACAAAAGTGTGCTAGGACAGACTTTTCTATCAAAAGACAATCATCACTGACCCTTGCCCTCTAAAAGATGTATTCCAGTGACTTAAAAAAGTTTTCTGGGCCGGGGAGATGGCTCAGTGGAATAAGTGTTTCCCTGGCAAGCACAAGGACCTGAGTTCAATCCCCGGTTCCACAAAAAAAAAAAAAAAAGTTTCCTGTAAGAATATTTGTTTTCGTAAACATAAGAAGCATATAATTCTTTATGCCTATTTTTAAAATATTTTGCTGAGTTTACACACCTATAATATTCAAATAATGGAACTTAACCAAAAAAGGGGATACAGATGAATGTCCATTTTGTATCTGCGTATTCAAAGTGGTTAGGATAGATATATAGTTACATTCTCTTAAAGAATAGAGGGATTTGAAAAAAAAAAGAATAGAGAGATTTGTTCTAATGGTGTTTGTAAATAGAATATCATGCCCGCATCTTGTACAGCAATTAACCACTAGGAAGAATGTATGCAATGTGTTAATTATTGAAACTGTCTTACCAAAAAAAATATTTGTTTTCTGTGGCCACTTTCTAGAAGATTCTAGACTTGCAGAGAAAAAGAAATAAAAATATTTGTTATAAATGAGAAATGTTATTTTATTCAATATATGGTAGGATTTATAGAGCTCAGTGAAGGTCCTTGTCTAACCGCAACTTGAAGTAATAAGATTTAAAAATTGTGGCCGAATCTCATGATTTTTAGCAGGATCTCAAAATCTTAATACTAGGCCAAATCAGAGAGTGGAGGTGTTGGACAGTCTCTCAATGTGGGAAGGATTGACTTGTGGTAGGCTTTTCCACGCAAGTTCTAAGAACCCATACTGGGCAATTCCCACAGACTGGATAGTGTGCACCTTATTCTGCCCAGGGATGGGCATCACATTCTGGAACTTGAGGGAACTGGCAGGGGTATGGGAATGACCACAAACCAGACAGCAGAACACCCGTTCTCCAGTTACTAGCCCTGTGGCCTGCAGGGCCTCTTTGTAAATGATCTGTTTGGGTTGAGGCTCCTCCCCCAGTAGCAAATCTTGTAGCAGCCTCTGGACTCTGGGGGACTTCAGTTGGTATAAGTCCATGAGTTGATGAAACTGTTCCATCCAAGCAGTAGTGTCTTTCACATATCGCTGTTGTAGCATCCTCAAAACATAGTACAGTGCCACAAAGGTCTCCCATGGAGGGACCTTTTCCTTTTTTTGTGAGATAGGCTGTGTCTTCTTCTCCAACTTGGGCAATTTGGGAAATGTGCCCTTATGCTTAAAGGCCCTAAGGTCTTTCTGAAGCATTAGTGCCAGGATTTGTCTGTCCACAGAGGCATGGGCACCTGTGAAGAGGTCTCTTTTGGTAGGACAAAAATGTCGTGTCTCCATCTCTTTAACAGCATTGGATAGCTGCTGTATCTGTGTACCCCTGCAAGACTCATCTAGAAGATGCCAGTTTATAGTTTTGGGGACTTGAATCCTCTTAGTGATTGGTGGTAACACTGGTATAGGGATGGGCAGTGTTTCCTTCTGGGTCTTGAAAAATTTGGGAAATTCAGTCCTCCCCCTGAAGGCCAGGGGATGTTTACCCACAAATGGACAGACTGCTGTGGGAACACTTCTTCTGGTTGGGTAAAAGTGTTTTTGCTCCTGGGCAGCAATGGGTAATTGTTGTACTTGCTTCTCCTTATAGGACCCATCCAAAAGATGCCAATTGGGAGCCTGTGGAGTTTGAGTCTTATTGGTAGCTGATGGTAACATTGATGTAGGGATAGAGAATGGCTCCAGCCAGCTCTCTTTTTCTTTTCTGATAATTGGGGGGATCACTTTTAAGCACACTGGACTCAAACCATCCTTACAAGGCCGTGAAATGTCAGTGTGACTTAAGTCTAGGTTCCGACTGAGGTGTTTAGTAATGGCCTTAAGTTTGGAGAGACTTAACAAGGATCCCTCTGGAGTAAACTGTCTCAGAAGTTTTTTCAGTCGATGCACACTATCCCTGGAAAGTTGTTTCCCTGCTTCCAGCTTTGTTAAGGTATTGTTAATTAAATCCTCATCTGAGATATAGTCAGCTAATCTTTCAAATGAAGAGGCTGGGGCTGGAGCCTGACTCTTAGTTTTCCCCAACAGAGAATCTTGATCCCGCAACATCCACATCCATCTGTCACCTTTTGGTTTTGGTTCCTGAGTTTCTGTAATATCAGAAAATTGGAACCATGGCCTTTGGAGAGTTTCTGGGATCTGGGTCTGTAAGCCTGTTGCCATGGCTTGTGAGAACATACCCTTCGGTTTCTCCAATAAACATGTCCTGAGAGGTTCTCCAAGAAGTTGGCTTCCCTGTCTTTTTTTCAAATCCAAATTATCTGTCACTTTCAGCACCATTTCCTCTTTTCCCTGCAGGCCTGACTGGAGTGGTATTTTATCTATAAGTCTAGAGTCTGTCTTTTTATCAAGCAAATGCTCTTTCTTAAAAAGCCATTTCCTTCTAGCTATATCCTCCCCTTCCTGAACAATATTCTCACTTTCTATCACTGGTTTGGGTAAGCCTACATCTTTTGAAAGCTCTGATTTCAGCACTCTCTCATCTTCTGAAAGCATCACATCTGGAAGTCTGTACTGCTTTCCCTCCTCATTAAGGCCCTCTTCCTCCTCTTCTTCCCCTTCTTCCTCTTCTTCTTCCTCCTCTTCTTCCTCACTGAGGTTCTCTTCCTTTTCACTAAGGCTTTCTTCTTCCTCTTCCTCATCCTCCTCCTCTCCCACCTTCTCTTCCTCCTCCTCTCCCACCTTCTCTTCCTCCTCCTCCTCACTGAGGCTCTCTTCCTTCTCACTAAGGCTTTCTTCCTCTTCCTCGTCCTCCTCCTCTACCACCTTCTCTTGCTCTTCCTCTTCACTGAGGCTCTCTTCCTTCTCACTAAGGCTTTCTTCCTCTTCCTTGTCTTCCTCCTCTCCCACCTTCTCTTCTTCCTCCTCACTGAGGCTCTCTTCCTTCTCATTAAGACTTTCTTCCTCTTCCTCCTCTTCCTTGTCCTCCTCCTCTCCCACCTTCTCTTCCTCTTCCTTCTCACTGAGGCTCTCTTCTTCTTTCTCACTCAGATACCCTTTGTCTGCTAAAAGGCTCTGTTCCTCTTCATTTTGGCCCTCTTTCTCCTTGTTACTCAGTAGCTCTTTCTCCTCAGTCAATCTCTTTTGGGAAGCCAAACTCTCTTTCCTATGCTTCTTAGCCAAGTTCTCCTCCAATTTCTCTTCACTTGGACTTACTATTTCCTTTCTCTTTTCTTTTACCAGATTTTCCTTTTTCTTTTTCTTAGGAAGAATCTCCTCCTTTTCTCCTTCCTCTAGCAGGTCCTCCTTCTCTTTCTCCTCCATAGTTAGACTTTCCTTTATTTCCTTCTCAGTCCAGGTCTCAGATAATCCTTCAAAGAGTTTTTCTCTGATGTTCTCCACTAAAAAGTTTACTTGGGTCTTTTCTGATTCATTCTCCTCAGTTTTCTCCAGAAGCTCCTCTATCTGCTTTGTTTCTAAAAGATTTTGTTCCTGAAACTTCTTTAATGTGGTCTTTACTTGAATTTTATCAAGTAAAATCTTGTCCTGGACCATCTCTAATAACCTTTGGTCCTCCTCCAATCTCTCTTCATCAGTCAGTGTTCTCTCTTTGGTGGCCAGTTTGTCACCTTTTAGTCCTCTTTTTTGAGCCTGTTCTTTCTCTTCCCTGGTTACTTCCACATATGGGCTATGACCTTCAATTTTACTTCTTTCCACAATATATGATCTGTCTTCTTCAGTTATTTCTATCTCCTTCAAAGGCACTAAACATATTTCTTTAGTTCTCCCAGCTAAGACTTTCAATAGTTGATTCGCTTTCATTTCTATATTTTTCTTCCTAGAACTAACCTTTTCCTCCTGTGAACTAATCCCCTTTTCTCTATCAAGTTTCTGTATTGCCTGTATTCCTTTCTTTTGTGTTACTATCTTTCCTTCAACAACATGTGTCTCCTTGGTCCTAATGTCATGGGCCAAAGTCCTGTCTTCCGGGAACAATTTATTCTCTTCTTTCATAATTTTGCTCTCTTCTTTGGTTATCTTTTTCTTTCTCTTAATGCTCTCAATGCCTTCTTTGACTTTGGGCTTTTCTTTCCTAGCAATATGCATCTCTTTCTTGGTCAACTTACTGTCTTCTTCAGTCAGTTTCTTTTTTAATGCCATTTTCTCTTTTGGGGGGGCCTTTTCCCCTTTTCTTTGATACTGTTCCTCCATTTCACCAGCCTGTACCTCTTTTTCTTGGATCAATTTCCCCTTTTCAAAGGCCTGTTGTTTTTTTTGTTCAACCTCTTTCTCTTTCTGACTATGTATTTCTTTCTGGGCCAATTTCTCTTCTTGTAGGCCTAGTTTCTCTTTTCTTTGAGTCCACTTTTTTTCCTTTTTGAACTCTTTGAGTTCCTTTTTTTCCACTGCTTCCTCTTTGTCCAGCTGTTTCTCCTTTTTCTTAGATTGTTTTTCTTTTTCTGTGGCCCATTTCTCTTTTTCTTGGAGTGTTTTCTCAGTGTCCTTCATTTTTTTCTCTGGTGGAACCAGTATCACTTTTTCTCTTGGCCATTGTTTTATTTTACCAACTTCTCCCTCCATTTTTTGAACCAGTGTCTCTTCTTCTCTGACCTGATTCTTTTCCTCCCAAGTCTGTCTCTTTGCTTTCCAGCCCCATGGCTTTTCTTCATGGGCTGCTGCTTCTTTCTGTGACCATTTCTTCATTTCTTTAACCCTTTCCTCCTTTTCTAGGTCCACTTTCTCTTTTTCCCAGGACTGCTGTCTCTTTTCCTCAATTTTCTCTTTCTGGGCCCTGCTCTCCTCTTTCTGAGATTTTCTTATCTTTTTCCAGGCCTGTTTATCTTCTTGTGACAATTTTTTCACTTCTCCAAACTTTTCATCCTGTTCTAGGTCCAGTTTCTTTCTTTTCTCAACTACATGCTTTTTCTTCTCCTCCTCTTTCTGAGCCAGACTCTCTTTCTGGTCTTTTTTCTTCTGTTCATCCTGTTTCCTGACTTGTTTTTTCTTTTCTTGGATTTGTTTCTTTTGATGGGGTTCCTTTTCCTCTTTTGCAAGCCATTTCTTCTTTTCTTGGGCCAACTTATTCTCTTGCTCTGTCAAACTCTCCCTGTCTGATGCTTGGTTTCTGTCTTCCTCAGACAATCCTTCCTCTTTTGTAGACAGATAACCCAGGCACAATTTACCAAGTTCCCAGGCCTCTTCCTTGCCTCCCTCCTCTTTTTCTTCTTTGCTTATAGTTTCCTCTTTTCCCCAGCTGTGTTTCTTCTTTTCATGGAACTGTTTCTTCCTTTCTCCAACTTGTTCTTCTACATCCAGGATCACTTCCTTGTCTTCCTCACCTAATTTACTTTCTGGGAATAACAACCCCTCTTCCCTGGCTGGTAAGCCTTCCTTGCCAGCCTGCATAATCTTTTCCCAGTTCCTTTTCAGGCTTGGCTTCCCCTCCTCTGACATTTTTTTCTTTCTTTTTCCAAGTAACTTCCTCTCTTTTCCAATTAGTCTCTTTTCTTCTTGGAGTACTTTCTTGTCAGTTATATTTGATTTCCTTTGTTGGGGAATAAGTACTTTTTTCTGGGGCATTCTTTCTTCTGGGTAGGTCCATTCCTTTTTATCCTTGGTTATTTTCTGCTTTTCTTGCATTGACATTGTCTCAGGCTCCGTCGGTTTTCTTTCTTCCTCAGCTATTTTCCCTACTTTCCTGTCCAGTTTCCTTACTACCTTCTCAAATTTTCCTTTCTCTAAGGCTGGGTGATCGTCTAAGAACAAAACCTCCTTCTTGACTTTTGGAGAAAATTTCACACGTTTTTTAATCGCTTTTTTAACCTCTTGTTTTCTCAGTACTACTGGCCCTTCATCATTGACATCCCCTATAACCACATTTTCTGTTTTGATAGGTAGTTCTCCCATTTTTCCATCACGCAATTTTGATGAAAATGAGCTTGAGTCCTTTAAAAGGGGACACATTTCTTTGAAGAGATCCCAGCTGGGCTGTTGGTCAGCAAGTACAACCTGAGCCAGTTCTACCAGTTCTTTCCCCAGATCTCTTAACATTCCTGGACAGGAGCTTGCTATCCTTGAGGTGACAAGATGGCAAATGTCATCCCGCCAAGACCTAATATTTGGTCTAGATACACGTCCAGGGATCCCAGCTAAACCATGACTCTTTTTATGTTTCTTCTTGGTATCTTCTTCTGGTTCAGAAATCTGTATGACTTCTTCTTTAACTTCTTCTTTGGGCTCTTCTGCAGTCACCTCTGAAATATCCTGTGAAGTCTTTTTCTCTTCCCACTTCTTCTCTGCTAATCTTTGGCTTTTTCTTGCTGTCCTTTTCCAAAGTCTTTTAATGCGTTCTCGTCTTTCCAGCTTAGAAATGACTTCTTCAACATCTCTCCCACTATGTTCATCTATCGTCTCTGTGTTCTCTGTGATCTGCACAGCCTCTGTAGTCGCCTCCAACATGCTCTCTTTTGTTTCAGCATCATCCTGGTGTTCAACTGGGCTGAAAGTACTAGGTAGCACTTCTGGTTCCACAGCAACCTCCTTAGTGTCAACTTGCTCTGACTTTCTGACCTTTTCTTTTTCCTGTGAATCCTCTGAAGTCACAGTCATAGAGCTAACCTTTTTAAACTCTATCTTTTTAAACTGTATCTTTCCATATGTTCTGGCAACTTTCAGGGCCTTTTTAACTGCACAAATATTGAGAGACAAAGAAAAAAATTGAGGTTTTAAGTAAGATCTTTTGTTATATCTAGTTCAGTAAACTGTTATTAGAAATTTAAAAAGCACCAAGGGCTAAGGCTTTATGATTTAGAAATGTTCATTTGCTATCCCAGTTGCCATATCTTAAAAAAATAAAGGGGACTTGCATGTTAGCTCAGTTGTTTAAGTGCCTGCTGTGGCAAACCCAGTCAGGTATAGAGGACTGTGGTTCGATCCCCAGACCTGCCCTTAAGGCAGCCTGAGCCATCCCCTGCCCCCCCCCAAAAAAAATCCTATTAAAGAAATAAGGCTGTCACTTGTGATACTTTCTTTCTTTCTTTCTTTCTTTCTTTCTTTTTGTGTGTGTGTGTGTGTGTTTTAGGAAAGGGTCTACAGGGTGTTCAGGGTCTCACTACTAGATCAGACTCATAGTGATCTGCCTCTGTCTGTTTACAGCCTCCCAAGAACTGGGAATACAGATGTGCACCACCACACCCAGTCTCAATCACAGTCTCAGCATGCCCTGGGGGCAGGGCTGGCACAGCAGGCCCAGGGATTGAACCCCGGACCCTTGGTATGACCATTCTTAGGAAGTCTACATTCTGTGAATAAAATTTTCCCATTTAACTGTTTCCATTGGTATAATTCTATATACCTTGCTATTATTGGCTTTGCCTAATGAGATTGGCCCCAATCATACCCCATACATCACCCCATACATACTAAGTTCTCTGCTCTTTGCTTGAATACGTTTCTTTCTGTTCTTCAGTTCAATGTTCTTTTCAGGTTCTGGCAAAGGTATGAATGTTTGTTCAACAGAGAGCTCAAGTTCTTCATCTTTTGGTACAGCAAAAGAAAAACTAAATGGTTTATCTTTATGTGACAAGGTCAGATTTTCATTTAGCCGCCACTGCACGTGAGTAAGCATGCACTGGATATCACTAGCTTGAATTCCCAGTAGCTGGCCAAGAGAGGCTTCCCCAATAGTTTCCAGCCTACAAAAGTCAAGCAGAAAAAAAGGACAATACTGAGCTAATGAGAAGACAGAAATATTTTTTAAAAGGAAGTTACAATGGACATGACATGGATAAAACAGTCATTGAAAACATCATAGGTAAAATAAAAGCTAGATACAGAAAAAAGAATGCTAGCAAATGCCTATAATCCCAGGTTTCCTGGGAGGTTGAGGCAAGAGGATAATGGTTTTGAGCCCAGGCTGGGCAACTTAGGGAGATTCTGTTTCAATAAAATAAAAATAAAAGAGTTGGAATGCAATGAAGAAAGAACAAGGAGGAGGAAGGGCAGGAGAAGGAGGAGGAAAAGAATGGGAGGAGGACAAAAAGGCAGGAGAGTAGGTGACTGTAGTGTAGCTCAGTGGTAGAGCACTTATCTAGGATATACAAGGCCTTATGTTCAATCCCTATATCACTAAAGAAGAAAGAGAAAAAAACAGAAGAAGGAAAAATGAAGACTAGCCATAAATAGTGAAGGTGACATATACTTCTTTAGGAGAGCTATGGATTTGCACAGTGAGAAATCTTAAGGAAGTAAGAAAATGATAGAAAATAGGGGCCAGTGGTCAGAAGAAAAGAGGTAGATACTAGGGGAAGCGAGAAAATAGAACTAAGAAACAAAGGGAGAAGAACAGAACAGAAAACGGATAGGGGCCAGAGAGGTGGCTTAGTAGAATAAGTGCTTGCCTGGCAAGCATAAGGGCCTGAGTTCAATCCCTGGTCCTACCAAAAAAGAAAGAAAGGAAAAGAAAAGGGATGATGGTAAAGGGTAAAAGGCAATAAAAGTCTGGAAGCTGGGACTCAGAAGAGGGGGACATTACCATCCAACTTACCACATTTCCTGGAGAATTTCTTGTTTCTTCAGCAAGCGAATAAGCCCAGTCTTGGTTTGGATGCCTGTAACTCTAGTCATAAGGTATGACACCTTAGTCCGCACATTCTTATCACTGTCCATCAATCCCATAGCCAGTGGGACAGCAAAAAGATGGCTCATGAAACCCAGCCTCTCTAACATCTCCCATGCTAGCTTACGAATATATGGATTGTAATGGGTTGTATCTTTCAGTAAGCGACGGGCTATCTCAGTGCGCGACTTTGAAGATATTTGGGAAGTGGCCAAAATTTGCTCCAGGATATCAAAATATTTCTTATATTTCTCGACAGAACAATAAGCTGTGAGGTTGAGAATGGTCTCTATTAAGTTGCTTATTAACCCTTCACTAAATTTTCTCCCAACCCAATTTTGGTTTGTTGTATCTTCAAGGACATTAAAGGAAATTCTCTTTTGATCCTTGGGTTTATCTTTCTGTTTACTCATTGAGATGTTTTTATCTAGAGTTATGGGTGATCGTGGCTCTGGTCTTAAGAATTCAGTCATGTTCCAGTCCTTATCTTGGTAGGGTAAATACAAATCATGGCAGAGGAAGATTGGGGTACCCTCAGGCCAAAGAGAGGCTCGGATCACTGAGTTGGGGATGTAGCAATCAGGAGCAAAGGGCCACTGCTTCCCTCGACCAAAGAAGCACTGCAACATGCGGTAGGTATTGAGTCCATCCCAGCTGGCCAGCTGTAATTGAGCAGGAACCACAGATGGGCGTCGATTCTGCTTGAGCTCTGGAGTAGAGAAATCAATATCTTTATCCTCCAAAAACTGCAAGTTGGATATGTCTTGAGCCACAAGGGACACACGGCTCTCCTCTACAACATGGGGCACAGTGTTATCAAAGGCAATGACTCGTTTGTTAACAAGGGTTTCTAGTCCCTGTAATTCCTGCAAGCCTTGTCCCAGGTAGACAAATTTTGGTACAAATACCTTTTCAAACAAAAAGAGGAAGCTAGGCAGGAAGGGCTTAGGAATTTCTTGTATTTCATCTACATTGTTTAGACTACATAAGTGAATCAGCCTAGCTGGAGGCAGCAATTTTAAACAGGATACTATATAGATACTCTGGTTGATAGTCAAAAGTAGATCACCCCGATTATTGGCAAAGCAGAGCGATCCAAACTGCAATGCTGAGTCCAACTGAGTTACAAGTCTACCCCGGAAATCCCAGATCCGAACTGAACCATCAATGGCCCCTGTGACAAAAAGTTTCAGGGAAAGGCAGACATCAAATGAAGTGACAGCACATTCATGCAGGCATTTTGTCTCTCCAAACATAAAGCTTTGTTTTGATTCTGATGGAATCAGGAAGTCTTGATAGCACCAGAGACACCAACCGGAGTTCTCGCTGATAGCAGCCACACAACCTGGCAATAGCATCAAGTGCTTTAGAGGACAACCACAAAGAACTTTGCTGACGGGCTGCAAGATAACCTTGCTGTCTTGAAGCACAGCTTCTGTCAGGTGTATGGTGTTATCCTTGCCATAGGAACAGAGTAAGGAGTTTTCTTGGGAACCTTCCAGGGTAGACAAGGATAACACTGCCCCAGTGTGGATGGTCTTCTCTATTCGTGCAAAACTGCAATGGGAGAGGATTCTCACAATGCCACTTTCATATCCACAGAACATCAGCCCTTCCAGGCCCATACCCAAATGGGACCTCCCATAGGCCAGGCATCTTACTTTATCTCTAGGATTTTCTGAAGTGCGCACAAGATACTTGGCTGGACAAGGAGAGCGTGTGGTATCAAAAACCAGCACCTCTGAACTGTCTATTGCCACAAAGAGCTCCTCTCTGTTTGAGTCATAAGCCCATGCCACAGCCTTATTCATGACAAGTAGAGGCCATGTGATAACCAACAGATCCCCTGTTACTGGAGACAGGAAACGCAATAAACCATCCTCAGTGACACACAAGATCCGAGACCAATTATGGCCACAGCAGACGCGCTGCAGCTGCTGGGGAGCAGAACCACAGACATTGAAAAGGCTATAAAAGTAGGGCAGGTGGTGCAGTGAGAAAGTAGATGCACTCTGGCAGAAAAAAGTGGTGCTATCAATAAACTTCAGTTGCTGTAGATTCTTATCAACACTCAGTTGCCTCAGCAAGTTCCCAGAAGCAAGATTCCATTCCTTCAATACGCCTTCACTGCCTGCCGTTAGTAAAGTGTAGGTCTCTGGCCTACTATGGATACATACCACTGAAAAAGAATGGGCCTGAAAGCTGTGGAGGAAGTTACTCTTATCTAAACTCCAAGCATGGATCTCTCCAGCTCTGTTTCCTGCGTAGAAAGTGCCCTGAGAGACACAAGTACAAGAGCAAGTGATGGAGGAACCACTGGTTACAAGGGTGAACTTCTTTACTTCTTCCAACTGGCCCTGACCCTGGTGGGTGAAGACTCTTACGGTATTCTCAGAATGAACCTGCAGGGAGCCCTGGGCACTATTCAGTGAAAAGCCCTGTACAAGTTCACCACCAGGGATGGGCACTGTGTGAGCCATCTGGAGGCCCCTGCCATTTGGTAAAATAAACCAGGTAACGACAGCCCCCAAGATACCAGACAGCAGCATCTCAGTTTCTGAGTCATAGCAGAGGCAGCTGATGGAGAAACGGCAGGGAACGGTACCCAGGGATGTGAATGCTTGATGGTGATCTCCAAAGAGCCTCAGGCACAGGTCACCACAGTAAGCAACTAACATGTGGTAGGAACCTGTGTGGACCATTGCTTCGATAGGTGGTACTTGTTCCATCACATGAAACTTCACTTTCTCAATCGCTCCTTTCATAGTTGTATCTTTTTTCTGTACCCAAAGCACTGCCTAGAAGAGGATGAGAGATGGAAGGCTGGTCATGGAGGCAGATCATCCACAAAAGTATGCACTAGATAAGGCTAAATATGTGGATCCCTCATTGCTTTTATTTTATTTAACTAAGGAAATATGGGACAGCTTGACTTCGGGAATTTCCTACTATGAGGTACTTGATATGTGATAGAAGCATCATGTTGAAGCCCTTTTCTTGGCCTTTATTCTATTTTTCAGGGCATATGAATTCTGTGGGCCTGCATCCAGGTCAAGCTGGATAGGGAGGTACTCAAAGGAACCAATTAAGAGTCACTCTCATCATTCTGAAATGAAGCCATTGTAGGTGGGGTGCCTGTATATTGGATTAGGAAAGAGGAGGGAAAAAAATCATAGCTTTACCTGCATTTGTTTTCCGTATAGTTCCACCCAGTTTAAGGAGACAAAGTAGTTGACGTCAATGAAGTAGAAGCAGACAAAAGGCTTGTTCTGGGGGTGGTGAGATTCTTGGTAGAGAGTCTCAGGCCAGTCGTTGAGAACAACCACATCATTTTTTATTTCTTCATCAATCTGAGAAAGACAAGTGACCTGAGTTAAAGGACCTGAGTCTCCACTTACTCACTCATTTAATAAATATTTGTTGAAGTGTTAGTGGACATTTTTAGCTAACTGTTATTTATTCATCCTAATAGTGGAAAACGTTTGGAGAGTCACCCCGTCCATACCCTCAGCTTGGAACAGAATACAATCTTATTGATCAAAGCATCTTCTAGAATTTCTTAACCAAGTTTCATAAGAAAAGGCAGTCCCATTCTTCTAAGGTATACATTCTATATAATGAATGGATTTTTCTCCTAGTCATATAATTATTAGCATTGAAAAAATGATAAAACAGCCCCTCAAATAATGTTCAGTGTTTCATGGTTCAGACACAGTAACAAGGTTGTGAACAGCTGACAGATTCTAACAAATACACTGGAAATACCATGCTAAGCAAAACCAACATGGCCTTGGATCTTAGGAATAAACAGTTCTGGGCAGGGATATGGCTTAAAGTGGCTTGCCTAGCATATGCATATGTATTTGATCCACAATACTACAAAAAGTCAAATGAAATCAAAGAAAGATAAAAAAGGAAGGAAGGAAGGAAGGAAGAAGAAAGAAAGAGTCCAGCGGGGGAAAAGAGGTATTAAACAAGTCACAACCAAATATACAAGAGAAAGAAAAAGCCATAGTGGTACATGCCTGAAATCCCAACACTCTGGGAGCTTGAAGCAGGAGGACCATGAGTTCAAGCCCAGCCCGCGCAACTTAATAACTTAGTGAGACTCTCTTGTCTCAAAAAATAAAATGGGGCTGGAAGTATAGCTCAGTGCAAAGGCTCTGGGTTTCATACCCAGTACCAGAAAAGAAAAGGAAAACCAGTGCTTATAAAAGGAAGTATTACAATTCCATGTGAAAATGACAAAGGAACCCAACCATGGGGAGTAACTGTTCACAACTGAAGCAACTTTTCAGAGTTCCTGCCTGCAAAGAAAGGATCAGTCTTGTCACAGTCACACATCCATGATATATGGCTTATGAGAAACTCACACATCACAGACATGTAATAGAATGCTCATCAAAAGTGATAGTGAGATCCCATGACTTGTACTTCCTTCACTATTCTCATGTGTGAAAAGGGAAATGGGCACCCTCCACAACATTTGGTTTACTCAGGTCTAAAATTCTACATTCTGCCCCAATAGAGCATGTGTACATGTGTGCATATGTGTATCAAGGTAGATACATACCTGTTAATATATTGCACAATACAGTACATGCTATCTTGCAGTGATGCAGCATGTCTGTGAAATATGTGTATAAATTCATACTGGGCAGCTGAAACTGAGCCTCATTAATTTTACTTTTGAGATCCTCTATCTCAATAAATATGTGTGCTATAACTCCTTCCTAAACAATGATGAATGAGTCTAACTCTCCAAGTCTCTGTGCGCCAGTATTTTTGCCCTAACAACTAAACTGGAAAGTAAAATACTAAATGAAACCGAAGGATTGACACTTTTTGGGGGGGGAGGGGGGCATGCGCGGAACTGGGGACTGAACTCAGGCCCTGCACTTGCCAGGGAAGCACTTATTCCACTGAGCTATTCTCCGGCCCCGACACTTCTTTATAATGTCCATCATGTCTGCTTCCTGCAATCACAACAGATTTGAGACTATACACTGAGGCCCATATCTGGAATTCAGAATCTCTATTCTCCTTGTATTTCTCATTTTCAGAGTTTGAGTTTTCTATTTCATCTTTAGTTCAGTGGTTACAGAGAATTGAGAGAAAGGACCCTTGGGTTCATATCTCATTCAGAAAGCCAAATGAGAAAGCTCATTTACATAACCTTATTATATTAGTTAATTACTATTCCTTTCTTCCTTCCCAGTCCTTCTGTATAAACAATCACTCAGTAAATAATCAACAATATTAAGGTGATTCCACAGAGAATGCTAATAAAAGACTAAAAATTTCTTTAAGCACAAACAATGTGTTTGTACCTGAAATTATGACGCCTACTCTGTATCAGTTGTTTTCCTTCACCTTCACCTTCCCTTCTTTTCTAGTTTAGGATGACCATGGACACAGCAATTCTGGCCATACAGAGTTCTGGTTCTCTGGTTCTCTAAGGCTAGCAGAGGCCTGTGGGTCTCTAAGCATCCTTCTTCCTGCTTGAAATTTGAGGCTTATGCATGGAAGTACAACAACTATCTTACAACCTTAACATAATGTTGACATACTAAAGATGATGGGAAAAAAAAGAACATAGGTCCTCCATGACATGTAGGACAAGATGCCTTCTACTTGTTTGATCCATGTAAATCCATCTTATAACCTGTAGGAGAAAGTATTCTTATTGTACGTAATGTAGCCATCTTAATGTAGAACAAGATATTGTTTGGGCGATAGGGGAGAACCTTGCCAAAGTTGCTCATATCTTTCCCATGCCACGGCCTTCTGATGGGGACCTGGTCATTAGTCCAACCTAGCAGGGACAGATAATTAGTCCACGTTCACAGTGTTCATAACTCTCATGTACATCACCTTTATGTCCTTCAGGATCTTATTTATGAGGAATCTTAAGTCCTTCCTCTGAGGAATAAGTCTGGGTGAAGATGATATCCCTGTGACATTCCAGCTCTTCACAGACATCATGGACCATAAAACCTACGGAAGGTAAAAAGTGTAGCTGAATCTTAACATCTGAAGTTGGACCAGAAATTAAGAGAAATGAGAAAGAAGGAAGACCAGGACAAGTAA